CGTATTTTGAATCGCCTCAATCGGACATTGGAATACAAAGTTATGATAAAAACACTGAAAGAAGGTGCAGCTGCCTGTTTAAAACAAGAAATTCCGTTACATAGTCCGTTAAAACAACAAATTTCGTTAGTTTTTCTGTTAAAAACAAGAAATTCCGTTACATAGCCACTTTTAATATATAGAAGATTTTTATTTATTTATTATTTTTTGATGATTCAATAATTTCCATGAGTAGCGGCAAGAATACTCCAATTGTTGTCTACATTTCAACCTATAAATTGACACACATTTTATTAAATAATGATTAGAGATAAATGATAGTAGCCTTCGTTTGGTGCCACAGTCAATCCATGATGGCTAAGTTTAACTATTAACTAGAAACAAGTTTGTTTACATATACACAATTAAGTTTGTTTTAAATTAAATGATTTTTTATTGGCCAGAAAATAAAATAAAATCACTCATTTGAAAATAATATGTATTTTATTATAAAATAAATAACTTTTACTTGTAAAAAAATTATGACATGTTTAATACCAAATATATTTCAAAGTAAGATTTAGGGGTAATTTCATTTTTGGGCACCGAACTTTCAGTGAAATCTAGATTAGTTCACTTTGTTAGCCCTCGTTCTTAAGTAAATACATCACCTCATGTTGCGACGATAGATCTTAAAATTAACGAAGAATAAAGTATCGATTATGCTCTATCGAGTGTATTATCGTCGATTTTCAAACGGGGAATTATTTTCAAAAGGGAAAAATCACAAATATATATATTCACTTTTTCCTACTTCACTAAAATTAAAAATTGAAATTACTACATCACTAAATATGAAAATCGCTATTACTTTAATCAGAACTTTCCATATTTTCACTCGTAATTGACATTGATGATGCACAATAGAAATAAATGGACTTGATTGAGAATGCTGAATATGTGAGAATTCAAATTCAAATCGAAAAATTGATGATACGTGATAAGTGTAGTTTCTACACTTATTCGATGTCCTAAATGATGATATTTTACTATTCTTTGGATAAAATACTGCCTAATTTGTGTTATATTTCATTTCGTAGGTAAAGCTCTATGTTTGATGAAGAATTGGAGAATAGAATGCNCTATTCTTTGGATAAAATACTACTTAACTTGTGTTATATTTCATTTTGTATGTAAAACTTAATATTTGATGAAGAATTTGAGAAAATATGCAAAGAAAAGGGAAAATGGCTCAGTTGTATCAAATACTTAAAAGTTACGTCGAACCTCACAATAAAGACTTGAGAGTGTTAAGCATCAATTGGATGAGAAAAAAGACAAATGAATGAAATATAGTTCAAGTACTATCACATATCAACTTCATGTCGAAAAAGTTATTATTCGAATTTTCAGTCCCAGTTTGAGACCCACTTTTGGCATAGTAAATGTTCGAATTAAAAAAATTATATTTCTGGAAGATTTGTAGTCCTCCGAGTTCGCCTGAGGCTGTCCAAACCCTCAAGGTGCGTGTCCTAGGTTACACTGGGCGCGTGTCTCGAGGCTAAACGGAAAAAAAAAACTCGTTCTTCCTTATTTTTGTTTTGTTAACAATTCAATGTAATCTTTTTGACATCCTTTAAATATCAAATTCGACCAAAACGTGATGAGACCTCCTTTCGACCAAAATTTCATCATATTCTACATATTTTGGAGGCGAAGAACAAGTCTATACATCAATTCAAGGCGAATCATACAAGGATTTTGAAGATTCATAGCCCGGTTTCAAGATTTGAACAAAGAACGTGGATTTNTACTATTCTTTGGATAAAATACTACGTAACTCGTGTTATATTTCATTTTGTAGATAAAACTCAATATTTGATGAAAAATTTGAGAAAAGATACAAAGATAACGGAAAATGGCTCAATTGTATCAGATACTCAAAAGTTACGTCGAACCTCACGATAAAAATTTGAGAGTGTTAAGCATCAATTGGATAAGAAAAGAAGACAAATGAATGAAATATAGTTCAAATACTATCACATGTCAACTTCCAGTCGAAGAAGTTATGTTTCGAATTTTCAGTCCCAGTTTGAGACTTACTTTTGACATAATAAATGTTCGAATTGGAAAAATTATATTTCTGGAAGATTTGTAGTCCTCCGAGTTCGTCTAAGGCTGTCTAAACCCCCCAAGGCGCGTGCCCTAGGTCACACTAGGCACGCGTCTCAAGGCTAAACGGAAAAAAATCTCACTTTTCATTATTTTAGTTTTGGTAACAATTCAATACAATTCTTTTGACATCCTTTAAATACCAAACTCGACCAAAACGTGATGAGACCTCCATTCGACTTAAATTTTATCATATTCTACATATT